GACAGAGTGAGACTCCAACTCAAAAAAAAAAAAAAAAAAGTATATTTACCTGTACGATGACTACCTATCTACCTAATCCTGAATTGTACCTCACATTTTTTTTTTTAATTTGGAGTCTCATTCTGTCATCCAGGCTGAAGTGTAATGACACACTCATGGCCACCACAGCCTTGACCTGCTGGACTCAGGTGAGCCTTCCCCCTCAGCCTTCCAAGTAGCTGGAACTACAAGTGCATGCCACCATGCCTGACTAATTTTTTAATTTATTGTAGAGATGGAGTCTTGCCAAGCTGCCCAGGCTGGTCTCGAACCCTGGGTTCAGGCAATCCTCTGACCTTGGCCTCCCAAAGTGCTGGGATGACAGGTATGAGCTACTGTGCCCAGCCTTGTACCCTACATCTTTAAAATAAAATAAAAAAAGCATTTTTAACACTTGGAAATGAAATGTAAAGGTCATGGAGCAACCATCATCTTCCCCATGGTGATTCAGCTTGCATGGCATGGTGTGAGCTTGTACATCCTGGCAAGGCCATCCTGTGCCCAGCGTGGCCGCCTGTCTTCACTGGGCACCTGCTTCCAGCCAGGAGTTCTTGTTCTCAGGAGTAAGTATGCCTGTAAGGCCATCCTGAGGATGCACGAGCCAACACTGCATGGTATTTGGTAAGTTGAGTGCCTGTTTGATCGTGGGGCCACTCCTGGAAAGCGTGGCCAGGAAGAGCAAACCCAAGCGGCCTGGGGCCTGTGCCGGCGGACCCCCCCCACCCCCACCGGACCCAGTCTCACCTGAGCCACGGCCCCAGCCGGTCTTGACCCGGATCTCATACTTGAAGCGGCCACCCTTTCCACAGAAGGGGATGGCACGGACCCGGCGGACATCCAGCTGGTCCAGCTTATTCAAAATCACAGCCATGACCACGTAGGTCACCAGGCATATGGCACAGGTCAGCAGCACGACGTAGTTCATGCCTGTGGCCGGCTCCTGGAGAACAGAGCCACCAGGCCCAGGTCACCCATGGGCTTCACCTTCTCAGGCCCACCCACCTCCTCGACCTGCAGCAGGACCAGGAAACTGGGCCACTCACGGGAAAGATGAAGTAGACGCGACTGGAGGGCACAAAAAGGCTGGCCCCGAAGGCAGTGAGGTGGCGGGTGAGGCAGACCGCCTGGCTGGGCGACGTCTCCTCCAGGGGCACCAGCCCCTCTGTCTTCCACATCATGTCCTCCTCACTGAAGTACTGGCACAGGGATGTATACAGGCCTACAGACACCTCCAGTGCTGACCAGTGGAAGTGACTGGTCAGATTCAGGTAGTAACTCCCACCTGGGTCTCCAGTCCTGGGCAGAGACAGGGAGAGTCACAGCCAGCCTGTCCCCATACCAGTCCTCCTGCTGCTGCTGTTCACACAGAGCCCCGGTGACCTTGGCAGATGCAGACCCGCCACGACAACCCTGCCCTGCTGCGTCCCTGCTGCCTGGCCCACCCCAGCCCATGGGGCTTACCCAGGGGCGATGAAGAAGGTGTAGGGCCTGTGGTCGTCACCCTGGAGCACCCCCGGGTGGATCTTCCTGCTGGCCGAGCAGTTGTACTCGTTGGGCCTAGGCGCCGAGTGCAGATAGACAGCCAGGTAGGGCTCAGGCTCCTCAGACAGGTAGCGCTCTGGGGGCGGCACGCAAAGTCAGACGCCCTCCTGGGCAGCTCGCCCACCCTGAGGTTGTCCCCATGAGACCTCCCCAGGCCCTCTCTCTGCCATGGGTCTGGGAGGCCATAGGAGCCTCTACACTGGAGGCATCTGCTTCTCCATGGCCCCTAGTTCCCCAGGCTCTCAGGACCCTGTAATGAGGAGGCAGACTGCCAGAGACCACGAATATGGGGTGTCTGCAAGAAAATGCCCAGGGCCAAGGCACTGCCATACCCACCGTTGAGCAGTGTGTAGGTGAGCTGCAGGTGCAGCCCGGCCTCAGGGTTGCTGTTGTCTGGGGTGACCACAGCACTGACCGAAGCCCAGGGCTGGACCACGACGGAGCCCGCAGGAGTGCAGTGCCCCTGGGTGGCCTGGTCTGAGTTGGGCACCTTCACAGTGATGGCGCGCTCCGAAGCCAGCTGCTCAATGGGGATCTGGGCGCCAGCCTGCGTCTGGAAAGCCATGGACACCACCTTGGTGGAGACAGTGTAGTTGCTGATGTAGCCAAAGGGAAAGGGGTTGGAGTCGACTAGGAAGATGAGCTGCACCACGTCACTGAGGTTGGACAGGGCTCCGCTGAAAGCCTCGGGGATGGAAAAATGGCAGCCTGGGCCTGAGGCATTGCCATAGCACAGCAGGCTCAGCGGGTCCGAGCGCTTGCCCTGGGCAACAATCTCCTCACTCGCCAGGGTCAGCGGCTCTTCGTTGAGCACACGGGAACGCATGAGGATGCACATGAGGGCAGACGACAGGTTGTAGGCCTTGGACGCCACCATCAGTGAGGGGGCCTCAGCCCCTAGCTCTGAGGGCTGTGGGTCCTGCACGTCCAAGCTGGCCAGGTAGATGAGGTCACCTGCAGAGGGGTAGGAGGACAGGGGTTTCCAGGAGGGAGATGAGGCGTGGGAGGCCAGCGGAGGGGAGCCTGGGGGAGGGTAGCCAAGGGGGGGTGCGTCTGGGGAAGGGGAGCCCAGGAGAGGGAAGCCCGGCACCGCACCCGTGATGTTGAGGATGCTGTCAGCAATGGCAGTGGGCGTCATGGTGCCCTCGGTGGTCTCGGCCTGCAGGATGCGCATCATGCCCTCCAGCTTGTGCAGTGTCTGCTTCAGGCACGAGCGGCACATGAGCTCCCTACTGGACACCTGCATGGAAATGGCGCCACATCCAGCCCCCCTCCTGCCGGCCTTGAGCCTGGACGCTGGCCCCATGGGTCATTTCCCCACACCCTTCCAGTTTGCCCCTCCCCTCCTCCTGTCCCCAGGGCCCGGCTCCGCCCCCTCACACCTGCCAGGGAGCTGGCAGCCTCTCTGCCTCAACACCACTCGCCCTGTATTGAGAACCGGCCTGACAGTGCCTCCCACGACTCCTCCACTGAGAACCCTTCTGTTGATCCTCCCAGGACCCACACAGTGTGATCTGTCAGCCACCCCAGAGTGTCTCTTCACAAAGCTAAAAGCAAGGCAGATGCTGAGGCTGTGGACAGAATCCATGCCCAGCCACATGTGACCTCCACTCGGAAGGCTCTCTGCTCCCTGGGCTCAGTAGTAATCTCCCTGCCACCCAGGGCACAGCACTCCCAAACTACACTACCCCATCCTGGTATCAGTGACCAGGGACTCAAGGGAGACCACACAGTGGCATCCTCAAGTTGGCCCCCTCACACCTGGGCTGTTCTTCATGCCCTGGGCCCCTTGTGGGGTCACCAGGGGTTCACTTTGGGCAGCAGAAAAGGAACAGCTGAGATGACCAGGAAGAACTCAGGGAGCTGGTCAGGAGGCCCAGCCTCCAGTGACCAACACTGTCCAGGGCTGCTGCAGGGCCTGATGTTTGAGGAGGGCGTGAGGACAGGGGCCCACTGTTCTACCATGCACTGAGCCAGCGCTGCAGCGATCTGCTGGATGTCGTCCACGGTGTTGACCCGCAGGGAGACCAGAGTCTCTGTGACGTTCTTGCGCATCTGGGCTCGCTGCTGCTGCTCTTGGTCAGGCTCTGCTGCCACATCCAGGGCCTGCTCATACTGGGGTGGGCAGTGGGCATGGGGTGCCATCAGAGGGCAGGAGGATGGGCAGCCCTGCCCCGCCCTGTACTGGGGTACCTAGCATGCAGTCCTGAGGGTTATGCAGAGGCTGCTGTGTGAGGTCCCAAACCAATCCTTCAAGGGCAAAACAGGCGAGCACGGATACCCCCCCAGGGGCAGGAGGTACTGCACAGGGTGGCTGCAGAAGGAGGTGCTGCTCCAGGGGTTTTGTGTGCCGGGCCAGGAGACCAGTCCTCTCATCGGCAGCACCCAGCACACACAGCAGGTGGGGGGGTCTCAGCCCCCAGCACACACAGCAGGTGGGGGGGTCCCCCACATACAGCAGACACAAGTAACCCCCACACGTACAGCAGACGCAGGCGCCGCCCACACACATTCAGCAGACAAGGTGCGCCCTCCCCACAACTGACCTCATTGAGCACGGTGATGAGAGCTAGTGAGTACTCGATGACGTGCTGGGGGTCGGCCTGCCTCAGCAGCCCCGGCAGCACACTGGCTGTGAGGCCATGCAGCCAGGCCGTGAGTCCCAGGGTGCTGCTGCTGGGTTCTGGCAGGACGATGGCCAGGGACCTAAGGGCAGAGGCGGGCGGTGAGCAGGGGGTCTGTGAGCGGGTGGCATCAGGGAGACCACCTTCCTGAGGGCCCAGCTCACCTATTGAGAGCCACCACAGCAGCACCCAGCTGGTCCTGCACGACCACGGCCAGGCCCACCTCGAAGTTCGGCCTGAAGCCAGGCGGCAGCACAGCCCCGTAGGTAGAAAGGCTGCCCTTGTAGACGCAGAACTCCTCACAGTGACCCTGGCGACAGCGCCGCAACAGCAGGGCGTACACCAGTGGGGCACTCGCATCCTCAGCGTCATGCCAGCCTGAAGGACCCCACAGCATCAGGTGGGACCCCATGGTGCCAGGCGGGACGCCGCGCCTCCACCCCCCGTGGGACTCACTCACCTGTGCATTCGAAGTGCACCTTGGTGGTGAGTGCATGCACAGCAGCCAGCGGGAAGAGGTGGCACGTGCCGCCCACCGGTGGGCGGTTAGGGGACAGGCGGATGGAGGCACAGCCCTCCTCTTCGCCTGAGCGGCCCAGCACTGTGAGCGTGAACGTGTAGCCCTCGCCATCCCGCAGCACGCCCCGCCGAAGCACCAGCCGCATGCCTGCGCTGCCTGTGGACGTGGTTGTCTCATCCAGCACCAGCGTCTTGTTACTAAAAGTACGCGCGGCCCACCGCTGCAGGTGGACAGGGTGGGGCAGAGTGGTGAGGCCTCACCCTGCCCTGTCCGGCCCCGCCCCAGGTTTGGACATCTAGCCCCACCGCCACCCTGCCCTTGGGTCCCCCACCCTGCTGCTCACCCCTCGCTTGGAGCCGCTGCTGCAGTTGAGGCAGCGGCCTTCCAGGTACACGTAGGAGCTGCGGCTCACTTCGTACACTGCCTGCGCCTTGCAGGACACACACTCCAAGGACACGATGGGTACTCGGCCACTCCGGATCAGTACCTGGGAAGGGTCACAGGGAGTCGAGTCCAGCTCGGCCCCCTCATCCATTCCCAGTAAGGTAGGCAGGTCACAGGGCCCACGGAAGTCTGAGGCTGCTCTCAGTCTCTGGTTTTCCGCAGGGCTGGCTCCTCACCCTGAGCTCAGCCCGGTACAGCACATTCACCCGCTCTCCATCTCCCAGTCTGGGAGGGGATAGTCGTCTAAAGGAGAGAGGCCACATGGGACTTGTTTTCTGCAATCCAGGGCCCAGCCTACACCTGGCAGCAGGAGGCAGATGGTGCTCACCAACAGATGGACACATGGGGGTGTGTGCGTACATGAGTGAATGAATGAATGAATGTACACATGGGATGAAGCCTGCAGACCTACACAGCACTGACTCAGAAAGTGCTGCTGCCCTGGGCCAGAGCCTGCGTTCAACAGCTGAGGCCAACTTGACCCTACTCTGAGCACCCTCTCGCCACCTAGGCTTCCTCCTCGTCAGGCCAGCTGAGGAAGCCTGGCCTTAAGGGCAGACACATGTCCTGGGGAACCAGTAGGGCCAGCACGCCTTCTCCCATAGGCAGAACCCACGTGACAGCAGCCAGAGTGGCAACCACAAGGTCAGGGTCACTTGCAAGATAGTCCTGAGCCTCCTGGACAGTCTGCAGAACTGGCCCACCTTCTTCAGAAATGAGGACACATGGACTCTGGGGACAATGATGCCTCTAGGGTGAGAAAGGGGCTGTTTCTTGCTGTCTGGTGTTGGCACTGTCGGGAAACAGTTCATTTTCACAGGACACTGGAGATCGTGTGGCCCCTTTAACATGCAAAGCTGTCTCTGGTTTGGAAGGAAACCATGCAGAAGTAGGATGTTTATTAAATACAATTTGTATCAAAAGCAACAAAAAGTTAGCAGAGGATCTAAAATCCCTAGAAATCCTAACTGTAGAAAACTTTTCAAAATAAGTGGGTGCTGAGCTATCTGTGGCACATGACCCAGGGAAGTTAGCACCCACCGTCTGGTTGGTAGCCTCTTCCTTCCGGCCGGCCTTCCACACGGTGAGGTTAAAGGTATATTCCACGCCTGCTTCCAGGCGCTCCCGGGGGATGGTAACCATGCTGCTTCCGCGGGGCCCAAAGTTCAGCGCACACCCACCAGCCTCACTCTGCACCCAACAGACAACGGGGGAAAGAGCGTGAGCTCCCTGACCAATCTCAAAGCAGAGCCTGGCCCAGGGCACAGCTTGGGAGACACCCTCCCTGTGCTGAAACCAAGCCCACCAAGCACTGGCCAAACAGCATGCTGGGCGTATATGGGACTCATGCATGCATACGACTGAGGGACAGGGAGGGCAGCCCTGCCACAGGGCTGACCTGTGTCAAGGCCACGCAGGCCCAGTGGAAGCTGAGCGGCGTCTGGTCACCATCCTCCAGGTTGGGGTCGTAGGACTTGCTCCCGTCCAGCACCAGGTCCTGTGTGTCTGACCACACGCGGTAAGAGCCACCCTCAATGATGGGCACCAGACGCTCAGGGGCCACTGTCACATTGGCCTGGATGCTCCGTGCCAACGGTGTGTCCCCAAACGACACCACGAACACAAAGCAGTAGTGGCCCACAGGCAGTGCCAGCCGAGGCACCACCAGCTGAGGCCGGCTTACATCCACGCCAGGCAGGGACATTCGGGTCATGTGCCCTGGCCGCTGGCAGCTGGCAGTGCGGTACACCTCCCAGCGGTACTCAGTCTGGTAGGTGACACATTCCCGCAGGTTGATATGGGCCTCCAGATAGTTGCGCTGGGAGCGCCGCATAAGCACCTGCAGGGGCAGGGCCACATCCACCTCCGGCTCCCGGCAGGCCAGTACCTGGACAGTCACTGTGGCCTGCGCCACAAAGAAACTCACCAGGTTGGAGGCGTTCACCTGCACATGGTAGTCCCCAGGCTGAAGGTAGGCATGCTCGGCCCAGGGCTCATCTGTGGCCCACACCGGGGCCCCGTCCCCAAAGTCCCAGTGGTAGGCCACATGCCATGAGCTGGGGCTCGTGGCAGCCTCAAATCGGGCAGAGCGGTTGGTGAAGCAGCGGCCACCCCGCAGCACCACATACTGCACAGCGTCCTGGACCTCCACCAGCAGCGTGCGGTTCTCACTGCCTAGCGCATTGAAGGCACGCACGTGGATTTCCAGCTGCCCCGCAGCCACGGGGGTATAGGTGACATCACGGCCCGACAGAATGACCAATGAGTCGCCCTGGACCTTCTGCAAGGAGAAATACCAGGCATAGGCAACGCGGGAGCCGTGCTGCACTCGAGCTGTGAAGTTCCGCTCGGTGCCTGTGGCAATGCCTGGCTCACAGCAGTTGGGCACCTGTAGCCCACTCACGGGCTCCAGCACAGAGATGCGCACCTGCACCTGTGCCCGGCTCACATGGTTCTCGGCTTGCACACTCACCACATGGTCTCCCACCTGGGGGAAGCTGTGGGAGAACTGGGGTCCGGGAAGCACCTTGGGGCTGGCCCCATCCACCTGCAGGTAGAAGATGGCAGCTGAGCCGGCAGCCAAAAGGACCTGGAAGTGGACAAGTTGGCCGGGTGCCACCACCTTGCTGCTGGCCCACAACACCAGGCCCACCACAGGCTCCTCCACTGTGAGGTTGTGCACGGCTGAGACCCAGCTGACCGCATTGGAGGCATTGAGGCGGATAGAGAAGGTGCCAGCATCAGGAAAGACCACAGCAATGTACTGGCCATGCCCACTGCCCCCTGGTATGGCCCAGCACCAGCTCACGTCAGTGCCCATAGCCAGTTGTCCCCAGAAAGGCACAGTGGAGCCGGTTGCCACAAAGCTGCCATCTGGCTCACCAGCCCTGATGCTGAGGTCACTCACAGGCACCTGCACGGCCACTTCCACAGTGGCACTGGTTGACCCCAGCTGGTTCCCAGCTGTGACCGTAACCAGGTGCAAGCCGGGAGTGGAAAAGGTGAGGATGGTAGATGGCTCAGGTGTCTCCCAGCTCAGCCCTTCCTCCAAGGACCAAGTGTAAATGATACTGCTGCCGCTGGCCAGCTCAGCAACAAGGGTGATGCTCATGTTGACAGCAGCTGGGCTGGGGGAGGCAACCACAGCCAGCCGCCCCACGGGCTCCACAAAGTCCACAGTGCGGTTGGCCCAGGCACTGCCCAGCATGTTGGTGGCTCGCAGCTGGATGTGGTAGGTGCTGGCCTCAGGTGTGGTGAGCGAGAAGGTCTTGCCATTGCCCGTCAGGGCTGGGCCTCCTTCCCGCTGGGCAGTCCAGCTGTAGGAGATGTTGGTGCCGTCCCTGACCACAGCCTGCAGCTGGAGCGTGTGGTTGGTGGGGAAGCAGCAGCCACCGCCACCGCCTCCCACCTGCAGGCCCTCGATGAGCTGCAGGACATAGATGAAGATGCTGTCCTGGGCGGCGCCCACCTCATTCTCGGCCGTGACGATGATGTTAAAGGTGCCCACAGAGCGGAAGGTGTAGGAAATGGTGGGGCCCCCAGGAATGGGCGTGCAGCGGTCACAGAGCACCCAGGAGTAGCGCACGTCGCTGCCGACCTCCAGAGAGGTGCTGAAGCTCACACTACCATTCAGGGGCACCACTGTGCGGCTGGCATTGACACTGAGGCCTTGCACACGCCACTTTACTGTGACATTGAGCCAGGCTTTATCACTGCTCACCTCGTTCCAGCCGGCCACACTGACAATAAAGTCGCCTGTGCTGTTGTAGGTGTGGGTGACCTCCAGGCCCTCCAGGCGTCTGCCATCCCCCAGCTCCCACAGGTAGGTGGCAGGGCGTCCACTGCCCATGACGGAGAACAGGTAGGGCTGCTGCAGCTCCAGCACGTGAGAGCCATTGACCCTGATGCCTGTGACCACCACGGGCTCCTGCACCTCCACCAGAGCTGAGTCGTTGGCAGCAGAGACGTTGTTGGACGCGGTGACTATCACCAAGTATGAGCCCGGGTCTCGGTAGGTGAATGTTGCCTCAGGGCCCCTGGCACGGGCAGGGGTGGCGTGCTCAGTGCCAAAGTCCCAGGTGTAGTGGTAAGGGAACGGGGGCCAGGCACAGGCTACTAGCCGGGCCTCATCCCCAAGCTGCACAAACTGCCTCTCAGGCTGCAAGGTGACATTGCCCACCTCGGGCTCCACGCAGACGCTGGTGAAGTAATGTGCCTTGTTTACACGGCTTGACAGAACCAGTGCCAGGGGGAACGTGCCGCTCCGTGTGAAGTTGTGTGTCACTGTCGGGCATCCCCGAACGGTTGTGTTAGAGGAGCCATCCCCAAAGGTCCAGTCGAAGAGGTAGTGAGCAGGGTCCCCGGTGACGTGGGCCATCAGCTGGACGGCAGGATGCATGGGGATGCAGGAGGTGGGCTCGATGCGCAGCACTTCCAGGACAAAGACCTGCACGGGTAGGCTCTGGGCCAGACGGCCAGCAGGGCTGGCTGCACCCACAGTCACTGTGTAGTTCTGCGCCCGCAGGTACACATGTTCCACCATGGCCTTGGAGCCCGAAAGCACAGTGCCATCCCCCATGTCAAAGGTCCACGTGACATTGTCACCCATCTTCACAGCAGCGCTGACCACCACGGGGGCTCCCTGCTCCACGGCCGGACTCAAGTTCACACTCAGGTCGCGGAGCTCCTCAAAGACACGGACATCCACATGTGCCGCCACACTGCTCACCGTGTTGTTGATGCCCAGACACACATGGTACACGCCCTTTGATGTGTAAGTGTGGCTGACCTTCGACTGGCTCTGTGTCAGGATGGGAGAGCCATCCCCGAAGTCCCACGTGTACAGGACGCCCCCAGGAGAGAGTGGTGGGTGTGGGTAGAAGGCGACAGGCCGGCCCACCACCAGAACATCGCCGCTTATGCCCACAGCCATGGAGGGCAGAGCGGCACGCACACTCACGGGCATCTGCTGCGTGAGGTTCTCAAAGGCGTTGGACACAAGCACGGTCAGGCTGTACTCACCTGTGGGGACAGGCCAGTGGTGGAAGCCACGATGGCCCCACCCATTCCCTGCCCACTCCCAGAATCCTGCTGACACCTAGTGAGCACTATGCCCTCAGCCCCGGCCCTAAACAACCTCATACCCCAGTCACAAACAGGACAGACTGTGGACATAACCACGCTGAGGGCGGAGTGATGATGAAACTATCCCCCAGTGGGACTGCACCGGAGTGGCACAGCAGTGAGCACCAGGCCAAGGAAAGGGTGTGGCCTGCTGCACATGCTGTGGCAGGGGAGGGGACGGAGGGCCTGCTGGGATTTTGTTAAACAAATGTTTAATAATTTAAATATGTTTAAATAATGTTTTAAATAATGTAATTCTAATAACTTAAAAATAAACAATAATTAAAAGGTGACCCTCTCTTCCTCCCCAGAATGAGCTGAGAGCAGGAGCCAAGAGGCCCAGTCTCCCGCCAGCAGACTCTCGTCACGGGATCAGGGCCCTGTCCAGCCCCCCCACTCAGACCTGGGTGCACCCTTCACCATCAACCATGTTGGGTCAAGGCAGGGGCCAGTCCCCCAGGGGGCTTGTCCTAGGGCTGTCCGCAGGGAGGGGCTGCTTGCGCTCAGGACCGGCAGAGCAGGGCCCACGCTCACCTGGGGTGGTGTAGGTGTGTGTGGCATTGTGCTCCACCAGCACCTGGGCCACTGTGGGGTCTGGAACCTGGAAGGACTCATTGTACGGAGGCTTGAACTGGCCAAGTGTCTGCTCCCCATCCCCGAAGGTCCACCTGCCAGAGCGGTGGGCAGTGAGTGAACGCAAAAGGGCCGAGTGTGGGGTAGCTAAGAAGGGTGGTAGTACCCATGGCCCAGGCCTGGCTTTGGTCTCCTGGCACCTCTATTCACAGTACACCTAGCTCCACTCTGTCAGGGCCTCCCACTCCTTCCCAGCAACCCTCACAGGGCCCTACGCACCCAGCACCTCCTGGGAGACAAGGACACTGAGGCTCTGGTCAGGAGTCCCACAGCTGAGGCTGGGACAAGAAGCTGGCACCAGCCCCCGTCAACCACCCACTCCCCGAGGGCCCCAGGATACTCACAAGAAGGCCACTTCCACAGCCGAGTCCACCAGCACACTGGCTGTCAGCACCAGTGTGGCATTGGGAGGTAGCACGGCCGGTACCATGGACACCCGCAGGCCCCGCATCCTGTTCATGCGCTCCACTGTGACGTTGTAGTTCACAGTGACGTTGCTCACGTGGTTAGAGGCAGTGAGCTATGGGGATAAGCATCAATGGGTGTGGCCCCTGGGCAAGAGGCCCCGGCCCCACTCAGCGCCCCCGCACTCACCCACAGCCAAGGCCACGTCCTCCAGGCAAAGCAAAGCAGAACAGAAGGCAGAGATGAGCACACAGGTACACGGCCCTAGCCCAGTCCCAGCCCCAGGCCTGCCCCCCCGCCCACCTACTGAGAGCTTGAAGACGGCGGCACTCTGGTAGATAACATTGAAGACCACGTTGTGGAAGGTGAGGGACTGCTTGTCATCGATGGTCCACCGAAAGACCACATCTGAGCCAGTGTCCACCATGGGGCTGTACCTCTGTGGAAAGATGTGGGGACAGACGCCTATAGTCCCAGCTACTCGGGAGGCTGAGGCAGGAGGATCACCTGAGCCCAACAGAACGAGGCTGCAGTAGTCGTAAGCGTGCCACCGCACTCCAGCCTGGGCAACACAGTGAGACTCCGACTCAAAATAAATAAATAAAGCCACTCACTTTGGCCAGGTGGGAACACAACGAAAGGCCCAAAATATGCACCTGGACTCGGGGGTTTGTATGAGGTCGAGCAAAGGTTGTGACAATTTGTTTATATCATGTGTGTAGAAAGAAGTACTTATAGGGCAACTGTTTTAGCTGTGACTCTTAATAATGTACAAGTCAGTAAGTAGCCTGAGGACCTGCCCAGAGTCACTGTGCTGAACCGCTGTCCCCACCGCTGTGTCTAGCAGTGGAGCCATCTCCCTCACAGGCACACAGGCCTTGTGCCCTGGGTGGGTACCTTGTCTGGGGGCAGGGGTGGATCTTTGGCCACACTCACCACCAGAACGCCCTGCAGCACGCGGGCCTCGGGGCTGGGCATGGCACGGAGGCCACAGATGGGCTTCTCAGCCATCACCCGCAGGCTGAGGTTGGCACGGCTGACACTGTTTTCTGCCACAACCTCCACTGTGTGCTCCCCCTCGCTGAGCCCAGGCAGTGCCAGCACGGAGAACAGGGTGTCATTCGTCTCCTGGGGGCAGTTGGGCATGAGGGTACTGGTGGGGCAGGGCAGGTATCCTTAAAGGGTGCACTGACATTGCCCCCGGGCCAGTGAGCCGTGGTCATGGCGCCGGCACCTGAATCCACCTGGAGAACCAGGGACGAGCCATTGGTCGACACATAGAGGCGGCCATCGTGGGGGGTGGGGTGGACGACCCGCAGCCCGGCCACTGGGGAGACCACATCAAAGCTACAGGACAGGTTGCAGCTGGATACACCATTGCCCACCACAGCCCGGACCTCGTAGCGCCCAGGATGCTGCAGCCCAGGGTTGGGCCTCAGGCCCAGCAGGGGCGTGAGCTGCTCAGTGGCTGCAAGCAGTCGCAGGGCACAGGCAGAGCCAGTCCAGGCTCCCTCCAGCTGGGCAGGCAGGTGAGCCAGCCAGGTGGAGGCATTGGCTGAGAGGTACGGGGCCCCAAGGCCGGGGCGGCTGGGAGCTGGTGGGCAATGCAGAAGGCCGCCGGGGCCAGCGTCGTGCTGCAAGCCAACGAGGTCACCAGGGAGCACAAGGACATCCTGGTTGCTGAGGAGGACCTACGGGAAAGGGAGGTGGGCTGCATTACATCCGTATAGCCAGGGTCTGCAGGGACTACTGCGTGAGGGTCCAGAGCAGGTGCTCATGGCAGGGACAGATGGGATAGCTGCGGACTTGGGGACACACACGGGGGAAGGTTGCAGGCAGGACAGCTGCCTGGACGGGGCACGCCCTCAGAGAGAACACGGCAGCTGAGCCCTGAAGGATGAGAGGAGTTAGGCATGCGAGGAGAGGGAAGAGGTGGCCGGGCTCGTGCGGAGGCTGTGGACAGGAGCTTCTCAGGCTGGGAGGTGAGCAAGGGCACTGCTGAGGCCAGGTGGGAGGGCGGCAGGAGGGGCCTATGGGAGGTGGAGAACCTGCATTCTGCCTGTGGCTTCGGGAAGCTGAGGAGGAGGAGGCCAGGAGCTGGCTGGGACAGACAGACCCAGGCCAGGGACACATACCGAGTACTGGGTGGGTGGCCCTGCAGGAACAGAGAAGAGGAATTCCCTCCACAGTGCATAGGTGGCTCCAGGGGCCCCAGGCCCTGATGTGCACACATTGGCACAGGCCCGAGAGTGGCAGGAGGCATCCAGTGATACACAGATGTTGGCTCCAGGGCACCAGCGTCCCCCCGGCAGGCACTTGGGCACCGGCTGGGTCTTGTTGTCCAGGGACCCACTCTTGGGTTCACTGCTATTTTCTGGGGCCCCTGCAAGGAGGGGAGGGACACTAGGACCCTGACAGGCTAAAAACCAAGTCAGGAAGGTCTCACCCACCTGCACCCTGACAAGCCTGAGCCCCCAATGCACCACCATGTCTTGCCAGGCAGCATCCGTAGCGCCCGCCATTATGTCAGCCACCAGCCCGCTGACTGACCCCGGGCAGGCCCCAACCAACTCCGCCTCAGGCACTGAGCATGAGGTGATGTCTCTGTAGACCTTGTTCTGACCACCTTAAAGCTGGGGACTGTCTGGTGGCCAAGGAGCCAGCAGATGTGAGAGAAAGGTCACCCTGCACCCCAACCACTGCAGAGTCTCACCTGCTCCTCCCTGGGGCCGGTACACCTGCAGCCGCAGCTGGGCAGGTCGCTGGAGCTCCCGCACCCCAAACTCAGCTCTGGTGAGGAAGGCAGCTCGGCTCAGGCTCAGGCCAGGGAACATCATGACCTGGTGGGGGAGGGGGCCCACCTCAATTCCACAGACCCCATCCCACCCCAGAGCCTGAATTCCCCAGGCCAAAACCCGCCAGGACAGAGGGGAAGGAGCCATCTGACAGGCCTTCACAGCACCACAGATGAGAAACTCAGAGCAAAGCCACAGGTGAGAGCTGGATTCCCGTCTGCCAACACACAGGGGAAGGCTTTGGAGGACCCTGCGTTCTCCTGGAGAATGGGAGCAAAGGTGCTTCCTTCACACTCTGCAGATTGGCCAAATTTCTATGTTGGCACAAGCAACTTCACTGAGTCCCCCCAAAACCAAGCTGTTACTGAGGGGAACAGGAGCCAGGAAGGCCAGGTCTCCTGGAGGTAGCAAAGCGGGTTCCGAATGGGGAGGGCCTGGCCTACCTCCACAGGCCCCGCGGGGACCGAGAGGCCATCCTGCTGCGCCAGAGGAGTCAGGGGTCCCTGCAGGTCCGCACTGGGCACACCCACGAGGAAGTTCTCAGTGTCCACCACAGGGCCTGGGGGTGGCAAGGGGGACAGCTGGGGCATCTAGGGCAGGCTGGAGCCCGAGCTGCTGGCGCCACCGCCAGGCCCTCCGTCCTCGCTTCTTCCACGCAGCTTCTGCCCAGACTCCTCAGTGAAGCACCCGGCAAACACCTCATTGCAGCCCCCTGGCTCCACACACCTCCAGGCTGCAGCTCGCAGACATAACTATGTGGCACAGAGCACAGGTCCGTGTTGCAGCGCCCTGCGGGCCCAAGCCGCACACAGTGTTCGGCCGTGGCTGGGTGTGGTTCCCCAGGCAGCCAATTCTGGCAGCTCTCCAGGCTGAAGGCCTCGCCCTGAGGTGCCGGGCCCGTTTCTGCCCCCTGCATGGCTGAGAAGCCGATCCACACATCCAGGCTCCTATGGGGGATGGCAGCGATGATGGGAAGGCATTCAGGGTACTACTTGGTCCTTCCACCCTCACGGCAGCCTGTCAGGTGGGACCTGTCACCATTCCCCTTTTCCAGATAGGGAAACTGAGGTTCTAAGACCCAGTGAGCAAGGCCCACAAACCCAGGTCCACGGCAGCATCCACCCAACCAGCCATGTCCACAGGACCCGCGGGCACAGCCAAGGGCTTTCTGTCCAGGTCCACTGCCCCTGTCCTGCATCCACCTCTATCTGCAGAGCTGACAGCAGCAGCCATACTGGGCAGCCATGGCTTCTCGTCAGGAAGACCAGCTAACTGGGTGCTGCCCTCCACCTGTCCCCACCTATTCTCCCCCTGAGTCACCCTAGGCCTCAGGCTCTGCCCCTTCAGTGTTCCAGAGACTCCCCACCACCACCTCATGACTCCCCTGAGGGTGAGGGCAGACACCTGGTGACCTGGGAGACCAGGAAGCGCTGGATGGCAGGACTGTCCACCATGGCCAGGGCAGCCCCAGCCCAGGCCTGGCATTGCTTCTGCGCCTGTAGCCAGGGTGCCTTCTCCATCACCAGGCGGTAGCAGTGCCCGTTGCCAGAGAAGATCTCTGTGTCCGAGGGGCAAAGTGGGTGCACCACTGGGGCGGGGGCAGAGAGAATGGGATGTCAGTGGTCAATGTGGGCCCGAGGCCAGGAGAACAGGATCTGGCCTGGGGAGGAAGGGGAGATGGGAGGGCTGCCCAGGGCCAGATGGGAGAGATACCTACTTGAGGCTGGCTCCTTGGCCAGGGCCACAATGCTGTAGGTGGCCTCAAGGCCTGAGCCACCGCGATTCCGGATGCTGAGTTCCAGGCTCTCGTTACTTCGCACCGAGGATGGGCACACAAGCTCTAGGGTGGCAGGTGCTGCCTCCACCTGCACCTCAGTCACCAGTGAAGCTGAGCTGGCCCCCAAGACCAACATGGCCGTCACATGATAGTGCCCAGGCAGCACATAGCGGTGCGTGGCAGCTGGGCCAGCAGTGTTCACCTCGGGGGAGCCGTCGCCAAAGTCCCAGCGTATGGAGGTGATTGGGACAGGAGCAGTGATGTGGAAGGCTGCTGGCTGACCAGAGGCCAGGGGTCCATGAGGCCCCACCAGGGCGGCCCCCAGGGAGGCAGGGAAGATATGCTGGAGAAGGATGGGGCCCCCACAGGCAGGGGCTGGGGACAGCAGGGGGCCAGCACAGAGGGCCAGGCAGGCTGAGGAAGTGTTGGGGGGCTGGGCCGCCCCACATAGGCACTGGCCCTGCTCTGAGAGTGCGACAAGGCCCTGGCCAGCTGAGAAGCAGAGGGCGCTGCAGGCCTCGGGCTCCAGCAGGCCCTCGTGGGCAGCTGAAAAGGCCACCACCACCACGGTGCCTGAGCTGTTGTCAGGGAGACAGGCGACATACTCCTCACCTGAAAGAGGCAAGCGGCTGGCCCTGGTTCCCCACCCGAGCATGGCTGTCCCACCTACCCCTTCCCAGGTCCCAAACCTGATTCCCAACGGCCCACCACACTCAGAGCCCACCTGCTTCCCAGCCCAAGCCCCTCCCCAGAGAGACCCTTCTGATCCTGCCCACCACTCTGTCCCTGCCCCACGTGGGGCTCTTCCCCAGCCCCATTTGCCTTCCTACCAGGCTAGGGCCCTGCTTGGCCCAGGTCCTGCCTACCCACCCACACTCACCGCAGCTGCCATCCAGCAGGGTGATGTCCAGCAGGGGCTGGCCGGCCAGAGGCCCGGGCCCGGCACACGTGGTTGCCTCAGGTCGTACTACATGCACCTGCTGCTCCTCCACCCAGCGTGGCAGCCACGCCAGGCCACAGTCGCACTCGAACGGGTTCCCGTTCAGGTTTCTACAGGGCAGGGACAGGTGTGGGGACCAGGCCTGGCCTGAGGGAAGGGTCTGTACTGTCCCCCCATTCCCTCCCGGGACAGCCAGGGCCTGGGCACAGCCTCCCCGTCCCCTGCTGAGCCCCTTGGTCCTACAGGGCCTCCAAGTAGGCCAGCAAACTACCCCAAGAATCTGGTCACAAACATGGGAGGGGACACAGAAACTAGGGCAGGAGAGGCACTTGGAGGAACCCGGGATCCAGGCACTGACACCCACCAAAACAACACAACTTACATTTCACTTAAATTAAATAAATTAGCAAATATTCCTTCTTCTAACGTAGAAATCTTGTTGTTGCTTATGTCCCTGGAAGAAAGAGGCATTAGGCAAGGTCACACGGAATGGAATAATGGAATCGTGGTAGGTAGCCGCCTCCTGCCACCCTGGGCGATCCCACCATGCTGGCAGGGAGCACGCAACCGGGCTGGGGAACACTCACAGCTCTGCTAGCACCGAAAGGTTTGCCAGGAACTCGACGTCCAGCACCCGGAGCAGGTTGTGGGAGATATCTCTGAGGAGCCAGTGGCCATGGGTCAGGGCTGGAGCCCCAGCAGGGCCTGAGCCATCCCTAGCCCACAGCAGAAGCCTTCAAGCACCCCAAGCTCTGGCCTCCCACCCTCTTCACTCTCTACTCCCAGAAGCCTTTCTGATGGAGGATCCAAATAAACACTTATCTGGGGAAACCAAGGCAGAAGAGAGCTGGGGCCTCTCAGCACTCTGCACCCCCTCAGAACAGTGCTGAGCGCCACGCAGCACAGCCACGTGGACCTGCTGACTCCAGGACCTGGACGAGCACAGGTCCCCCCATCCCCTAGCCCAGCACCAAGGCTCCCCCACCCATCTCCTTCCCCCGTCCCCCCAGCACCAAGGCTCCCCCACCCATCCCCAGCCTCCACTCATCCCGACAAAGCCAAGGACACCCCCATATCCTGCTCTGAGCTCAACAGGGAGGCCCAAGAGCTGACTGCAGCCACCCTCCAGGTGGGGTCAGAAGGCACCAGACTCCTGGCTGGTGGGAGAGTGGGGGCAGGAGGAACCTCAGCGTGTTCCCAAGACACAGTGAAGACATGACGGTCAGAGAGATGGGGAGGAGGGCCCTGGTGGGTGGCCCCATACCAACCCGATAAAGCCCGGCCGCATCAGCAACACAGCACTCAGGACTCGCCCTCATGGAAGCAAGGACCGTGCTGTGTCACGCTGTGCCCCACACAGGAGTGGGGAAAGAAGGAAGGACTACAGAGGGCAGGGAGCTCAGGAAGACTGAACAGGAAGACTCTGATACTTCAAGAATCCCCACAAGGCCGGGCGCAGTGGCTCGTGTTTATAATCCCAGCACTTTGGGAGGTTGAAATGAGAGGATTGCCTGAGTCCACGGGTTCGAGACCAGCCTGGGCAACTTGGGAGACCTCATTTCTACAAAATAAAAAATTTTAGAAAATGGTGGTGCGTGCCTCTAGTCCCAGCTACTTGGAAGGCTGAGGCAGAAGGATTGCCTGAACCCAGTGGCCGTGAGCATGCCACTGCACTCCAGCCTGAGTGACAGAGTGAGACTCCAACTCAAAAAACAATAGAATCCCTGCAATGAAAGGCACCAGCCCAAGGGGCACTCACTACCTCTCAAAGCACCAGCCAGAGGTCAGAAGGACAGAGACAAGGGCCCAACTCCATCTAGGATGCACACCGTCCACATTGGTGTCGTAAATAAATCAGAAAACAAACTGCACACTGGGAAAAGCTGGAGCAGTAGAGGTGACAGACCAAAGGTTAGCAATGCCCTTGCTCATGCACCACCAGGAAACCCCAGAGAGAAAACCTACTCAAATGAAGAAAACAGGGCTACAAACAAAAACAATCAATCAAAAGGACAACTGGCCACAGACACGGAGAACATTCCATTTCAGTAGCAACTGGAGACACACCAACAGCAACACGAGGCGTCCGCGCCTTCCCTCCACCACAGCTGTCCAAGCTGGGAACCGAGTCCTCGTGCTGGCGGTAAGGCGGGGCCCCAGAGACACACAGCTCTGCCCAACAACCCACTGCAAGCCCCACTGCCCCTGCCTAGCTCCTGGCCCCACACACTCCTGCCAGGAATCCTTCGTCCCCTCCTGCACTGTCCTGCAGATCTGTATACCACCCCTGGGGCACAGGACATCATGCTCACTTCACACCACCGAGCCTTCCTAGCAGTGACCACCCAGCAAACAAGCCCCAGGCTGGGGGTTGCCCTACTTTTCCCCAGCCTCCATGAGTCCAGGCATCCCGCCTTGGGTGCCTTTGATCTTGCCCCTCCCATCTGAGCGCCCACAGCAGCTGCCTGTCCACACACAGCAAGGTGCTCGAGCCGGAGGGCTGCCTACAGGCTGCCTGAGGGGACTGGGCCCAGGGCAGGGGCTTCAGAGAGGGAGAGGCCAAGAAGGGGACCAAGAGCCAGCCTGGCTGAGGTGGCCAGGACAACAAGGCCTCAGTGACTGGAGTGGGGCACTCCCACAAGCTAGGCGTCCAGACAGTCACAGAATGCCCATTCCTTCCGGAGGTGGATGCAGCTCCCTCCCCAGGGTTCCAGGAGACCCTATGCCCACAGCACGGGGCTCCAGAACTCCAGGAAGGGAAAGGTTTTGGGGTCAGGGAACACAGGAAGGAACCCTCTGGCAGGTTTATCTCTGTGCTCCCAATAGAGCCCAGCCTCTCCCCTGACCCCTCTAAACACTAAGATAAGGACATGTCTCTCCTGGCATAGGCCTGCCTCTTCCCACTGCACTAAGGGTGCTCAGGCCCAAGTTGGCTGCAGGGTAGGTGGAACAGGATGGCGGATGGGAGACCAGGGAAGCCATTCACCCAGAGGGGGGAGACAGTAAGACTCCTACCTACTAGTCAGGCACAGTGCCCAAGAGAAGCAATGCTTTCATGAGGAACTCCAGTTAGACTTAAGTAGGGACTTCCCAGTGGCTGCGGTGACTGTGGCAGCAGAACCTATGCTTTGAGGAGCAGCAGCCCTGGAGAATAGGGGGCTGATAGAGACCAAGAGTGAGTGCAGGACCCTGGGGTGGGGACACAGCTGTGAAAACCTGACTGTAGAGAGCAGAGCATGGGAGCACCTGAGGTGCTAGAGAGGAATCCTGGGGCCTCCCTGTCAAGTTACAGGAGGAAGGAAAGTAAAAAAATTCCCAAGATGCTTGGCCACACCCTATCTTCTGGAAAATCCATTAAGAGTGGCAACTGCTGGAGTCTGAGAAACCAGGCCAGGGAGGAGTGGAGCCATCGGCCTCAAGGTCCCAGGGCCAGCCACATGGGCCCGTATCTCACCACCCTACTGAGGACCTGGCCTAATAGCGCCATCGAGGCTCCTTCAACTGAGCAGGCAGACCCACCCATCACAGGTGCCAGCCATGGGCTGACTGCACCAGGCTCCGCCCACTTGGTTCCAGCTTCACCTGGGCCCACAGCCCACCACAGTCCTCAGGGACCCATCAGCCAAGCTCCAGTGGCCCAGAGCGTGGAACCAAACCGGGCTTGGACAAGAACCAGGTGCTGTTCCCAGGTACCCAAGGTATGAGGCATCTGCCTGGGGCAGGGCATGGTGGACATGGGCCTCGGGGTAAAGGGACAGCACCAGGTCACTATGGAGTCCTCACCCCGTCCCGTTCCCCACAACCTAAGTTTTCCATGTCTCCATCTGCTTTTGCCATCACCATCTGGGGAAATGCCAAGGCCCGGCCAGGCAGGCTCGCCAGCCCGCCCCTTGGGCTTCCTCTATAACCCCCTCCAGTCTTCCAGGTGATGTCACTGCTGCCGCCTGATACTCCACCCCCATGCTTGGGTTCCCTGCACGGATGGGGGTCACAGTAGGCCCAGGAAGCAGGACTCCTAGGGCTCATGGGTCCTAGCAGGAGCACAGAAACACAGCCCCAAGGTTGGCCTGGCAGTGGCGGCCCTTGCGCCTCTCACCCCATGGCAGGGGAGCAGGCTGGAGCACTGGAGAGGTCCAGGGCTATGTGAAGCGAGGGGACTAACCTGGGGACCACATACCCCAGAGAACAGACAGACCCACAGCAGCATGATACGCATGTAACCTGCCTCAGGCTAGAGGCCACCTCCCCAGTCTGTGTAGCATTGGTGTGGCCCCAGGGTCTGAGACAGGGGTGGAGAGCCCAGGTCTGGCTGGTGCCTCTGCTATTCCCCCTCTTGCTGTGAGATAGGCAAGTGTGCTGGACAGGGTGAAGTCACCCACTGCGCCCACTCACCTGGGCCTTCCCTCCCCTCCATGAATGGAGCCCAGAAGTCACTGGGGAGCCCACCTGGCCCCTGCACTGGTCTTGACTCCTCCTATTTTCCACATCAGATGCTCAAGGGAGGGGAAACCTCCCCTCCTACCTGTGGGGTACACCCGACCTGATAAGCCAGGCCTCAGCCTCCCCAGGAGTGCACCCACAGGCTTGGGCACCCCTTGGGGCTCAGGTACCTACGAGCCGGGCTCTTCACCTGGCTCCTATTTTCCTAACAAAAGGCAAGGAGTGGGGAGCTCCCACCCTCCCCCAGGGCTCTGCCCACAGTTCGCATGGAGGGTGAGTGACACCACAAGGCAGAGGAGCAAGGTAGTCTTGGAGGGCTCTCCTGGGCAGGAAGAGCCGGGCTGGAGCATGTACTGTGATGGGGGGGGTGAGGAGCCAAGGAGAGCATCACTGGGCGTGGGCCGCTTGAGGTCCATCACAGCTGGAGCAGAAGGAACAGAGGCCCAGCAGCCTCACTTTCCCCTCTTCTGATAGGACTGGTCCTGGTACCCGCTCCCCATCCAGATGCCAGTGGGGTCTGGGGGCCGGTGCAGCCCCCAAGGAAACATCTGCACATTCCAGACGCGTGTGGTCAGTGGCGTGGGTGAGCGCCAGGCCCAACACCCCCGCCCCACTGGCTGTGGCGCTGGAAACAGGGCAGGGGGCCCGGCTTGGAGGAGCCACCCGCAGGGGTTATGTAACCACTCCTCCCGGCCAGCACCTCCTCCCTCTCTGGCAGAACAGGACAGTTCGGCAGCCGGGGAGGCCCTGTCACCCCGAGTCCTCATCACAAGTCAGCCTGTCCTCTGCTAGGACACAGGTTCCCCTTGGCACCAAGGGGACACCCAGACACACCCTTTTCCAGAACAGGCCCCAGGGTGGGGGAGTGGTGTCGCCTATGTCAGCGCCTCCTCACCAAGGCTCCTTCCAGCACCCATGGGCCTTTCTTCCAGAGCCAACTAGAGCCCCGTGACCTCATCCGTTTTCTCTCCCTTTGCTCTCCAGTCCCTTCTATTTATGGCGTGTGAGGCTGGCTTCCAGGGCCGGAAATGATGATGTTTAAGTTAACTAATTCGAGCTTGGGAGAGTGAGTGGATTAGAAGGAAAACACACCAAGCAGCCATGGGGTGGACACAGGGGCCTCCTGGCCCCGCCCACGCTTTCCAGGGCAGGGGCAGGGAGGCGCCACGCCAGGGCCCTGCAAGAGTCCAGTCTCAGCCTCCAGGACAGAGGGAAGGCC